TTCCCTTTAATGCAAACGTTATTATTTAGTGAACATGTATTCAGTAATACATGTAATACCTGTTCAATACATGCAATACACGTGCGTTTTGTGGGGAAATGTTAGCTAACATACAATTATCAGTCAATTTAATTACAATATCAGCGCTAAGTCTATGGATCGCAATCTAAGCACACAATTGGCTGCCATTGCGACCGGTGTTGGCGTTGGAGTCGCTATCGGTTGGCTCCTGAGGGCTAAAATACACCACTCGTTGGCCAAACATTTGGGCAACAAATCCAAAGAGATGGCCGAACACGCCTTCGACGAGATAATGGGCGCCGAATGTAAACTCGTAATTGTGGTCAGAAGTGATCTCAAGATGGGAAAGGGGAAGGCGTGCGCACAGTCTTCACACGCGGCCGTATGTCACCAACACTTGTCACTATCACTATCACTAATATCTCTTTCCCCTTACCATCAGGTGATGGCTTACGAACAGATCCGCAACAAGAAGCCAATACTGAATCTATGGCGAGCGTCGGGTCAGCGAAAAGTTGTGGTGAAAGTGGACACCGAAGAGGAGCTGTTGGAAGTGGAGAGAGAGGCGCGCAAAGCGGGTCTCGTGACGAGTCTTATACGCGATGCCGGACACACTCAGGTGTCTCCCGGCTCCAGGACTTGTGTGGGCGTCGGTCCCGGACCCACACAACTGGTCGACAAAGTGACCGGACATCTCAAACTCTACTGACCAGTTGATCCACTCATCTATTAATTTAATGATTATTTGTCTATATTTTGTGTAAAACTATATATTTTTAATACAATACTTACATTCAAATGAACAAAATAGACGATTATTTTTTAGATTTTAATACAAAACAATTGATTATTAATTAATTATTCAAATAAATTATGAATACATTAAAGATATTACAAAAAATGTTGGCCCAAAAAATATGGTACAAAACAATAGCTATTTCTTAATGTTTCCCAAGTCTTCGATGGAGTCCTCGTCGATGTCCGGCCACTTCTCAGTCAACAAATCAAACATATCGTCCTTAACGTCGCCCTGAATGACAATCTCATCGGTTCCGGTCACTGATGAGCCGCACGCGAACTTCGAGGCGAAGAATTTGGCCGCGACTTTGATGTCGATGTCATACGTGGATAAACCGGTCACCACTGGAACAGATGGTCAAACAAAATCAATACAAAGTCTAATAGATTTTGACATCATTTGAAAATAAATGTCAAAACAAAACACAATATTTGTTAAGACAATGTGTGGCCACAAACCGGTCACGTATTTCTTCTTCCCGCGATTACTTCGGGCGAGTTTGACGTATCGCTCGATATCGTCCTTCTTCTTGGTCTTAACCAAAGCCTTTCCGCCCCTCTTCTGGCGACCCCTCGTCTCCCCCACGCCTTTCACAGAGTCCTCATCAGCGGCTGCGGCGCCGGCGGCCGTCGTATCCGACTTCACGTCACTTCCGGCCACAGTTTTGGGCGCCGATTGAGTGGTCGCTGATTAAGACAATTAAGAGTCAATTAATTGGTGTCGCAAAACAACGGACACAACAATCATATGCGACAACACATACGGTCTTTGGATGTCTTGAAGAGGGCGTCGAAGACGTCGGGTAAATGCCTTTCCAGCCATTCCTTGCATTTGGCGTTATTTGGATAATACTCGCAGTACTCGACCGGAAGCGTACACTCTGTGGCCATCGGATCAGATAGAGTGATGAGACAATCATATGGTTGTGCCACTCGTGAGACAACACTTACCGCCGCAATAGAGGACTTTAATGGGGTATTTGAGTCCGGGTTGTGGTCCGTCCGGCAGAGCCTTCACCGCTGTTTCGCTCATTATATCGACGATTAAATTGAATGCAATTTAAGTGTTGATTGAGTTTACGATTCAATTCACGTGTTATTTGTTGTCAATCAGTGTTTGTATCGCAAGTCATGTACTGATTGTCGCCAACAGATGGCACTCACTATACATACAAACCGCACATCAATTAGAAATGCATTTCCCAAACACTTTTAGGGGCTCTAAATGTCCGCACATTTCGTACCTTTTATTGCAAACACTTTTCATTGCATTTCAATGTGTTTTCATACAAACAAAACACTTTCCCCACAAATACTGTTACTTTCGGTTATGAAAAAAATACAGTAAATTCATTGCGAAAATAAATTTCAATTTATTTAAACTCATTATAAAAACTAATGAACGCATCGAAAAGTATAAATTAAAATGCAATCAACGATTCAAATGATGCATAAAAATAGGCGATAATTATGTATAATATGGTCGATAACAATGTCACGGCTATTATCTCAATGATGAGCCAAACCTTGTTTTCAATGCAATACAAGCCATGAGTTGACACAAACAGCGAAGGGGTGGGTGTGTGTGATGTGCGTCACGTTATGTATGAATGGCTCCCTTCTAGACGGATCGGTTGGTCACGTGACACACATTTTGTACGGCAAACACAGGCCTCCAATGTATGGCAATGTATGGCA